TTTTTTTCTCTGCTTCCTTTGCGTTCCCAGTGGAACATAGGGCTTCAAGCTACAGCTTTGAAGTTCCAGTAGCAGTGGTTTTATTTTTACGGGGTGGAGTTGCTAGTCTCACTCCCAACCTTTACTCTCTGCGTAGCTAATCACCAGCTGAGTGAGATTCGGGAGTGTGTCGGTCGGGGATTGAACTCCAGACCACCTGAGTGTCTGGCCAGCACTCTACTTGCGCAACACCGACGCACCAAAAGAAGGTTATAGTTTTACAACTATCCATGCCTTTTTTTCATTATTATTTTATGTAATGTTTAGGTGTTAAAGATTATCAAATGTAGTATTTTTATTGCTTAGATATGGGAAAAAAATAAGATGAGCGATGTTTATTGTAAAACATCATTTTAGTAATATCTGTTAAGCATAGTATAAGTTCAATTCTATCTTATTTAGTTAATCCTACTTTAATAATACGAAAGGTTTTTCTATGGTATGCGAACTACAGGTTTCAAAATTTCAGTTTCTCTTGAACTCTGCTATCATATAAAATATAAAACTATAAGTAGTAGTAAGGAATAGTGAATAGGAAAAAAGCTTATTTTTTGTTACACAACCCTTCATTTAGTTAATACTTTCTCGAAATCTGCACATTTATCCTAATATTCATAACAGATTACCAGTTGAGTTAATTTAGAGAAGAGACACCAAAATTATTTGTGTGGTATAATTTTAGTGATAGCATCTTTATGAGAGGAAGTTATTTCCTCTTCTAGTTATTATTGCTTCCTTTAGTTCCTAGAGGAACATAGGGCTTCAGCCGCACGTCTCCACTGCGTTTGGTTCTCTGCCAACGTTTTCACCTGGCTCCATGTCTGCCCACGTGCTTTCATCTCCTCTTCATGTGACCTCCTCCAAGTCACTCTTGGACGACCAACTCGCCGCTTCACATTCGGGTTCCACTCGAGAGCTTGTCTAGTGATGTCACTTGATGGTTTCCTTAGAGTATGGCCAATCTATCTCCATTTCTTCCTGCCTATTTGTTTCACAATCGGTTCCTACTGGGTTGGTTCGCTCCCAGAGATCCCTGTTGCTGATCTTTTCTGGTCATCTGATCTTGAGTATTGAGCGAAGACAACTGTTAATGAAGGTCTGTAGTTTGTTTGAGGTGCTCTTCATGACGCGCCAAGTCTCTGATCCATAAAGTGGCACAAAACAATGGTTGTTCTACTTTGCTGAGTCTCAGTAGACCGAGAAGTAATTAGGAAACTACTTTAACACTACGGTGTACCTCAATTTTTTGTCAACCTCATTCAACAGCTATATGACAATGACACGTGTCAAATAATCCACAACAGAAAACTGAGAGAGGCGTTCGAAGTGCATAAAGGAGTAAAACAAGGCCGGCTGCCTATTATCACCAATGATATTCTTAATTGTGGTGAGGGATTATGCGTCAGAATGTGCATAGAAGTGAGAAGATAGGAATACGCTGAACGACCGATAAGAAAACTCTAGAAGATCTGGATTTCGCAGATGATTTATGTTTAATGTCACATCAACTCGAAGACTTGCAAGCGAAAACCAACAAACTGGCTGACAGCGAAGACAGGTCTCCAGGTGAAAATTGAGAACATGGAGGTGATGAAAATAACCAATCAACAGCAACAACAACCAGCACCAATCACAGTTAAGTGGAGAGATTTAACAGAGGTTGCGTCCTTCACTTATCTGGGAAACATCGTTTCAATTACAGGCGGAACAGACGAAGATGTCAAAGTCAGAATCGGAAAGGCAAGACACGCCTTCATCAACCTGAAACCAGTTTGGAAATCTTCTGCACTCCACCTCAGCATAAATAACAAGATTCTCATTTTCAACACCAATGTGAAGTTTGTTCTTCTATACCGGTCAGAAACTTGCACTGCGCTTGTGTCACGAAAAGCATTTCCAACAGGTTGCAGACTTTCATCAACAGCTGCCTTCGCTCCATACCTAAGATCAAATGTCAGGCCAGAAAGAATCAGAAACTAGAAACCCTGCAGTGGAACAAACCAACCAAGAGCCGATTGATCAACAAATATGTAAGAGAAAGTGGAGATGGACCGGGTACACATTGAGGAGGCCACCGAGTGATATCGTGTACAATTCAGGCCATCACTTGAGTGGAATCCAAACGGGAAGGGACGAGTGGGTCGTCAGTGTGATGGTGGCATGGAGGAGATCGTGTGAGGAAGAGATGAGAGAATTTGGTCAATCGTGGACCCAGGTGAAGAGGACGGCAGAAAACAGAACAAAGTGGAGATGTGTTTTTGAAGCTCTATGTTTTACTCGGAACGCAAGGGAATAATTATGATAATAATGTCTCAGTAATATATTAATTAGAAACAAATTGCTTCAAACAAAATGAATACATGATATTGTCCGACAACGTTCGAAAGCTATTGAACAATGAAATGCTAAAGATCAAGGGAAAAATACGGATATAAATGTAGTTTAGATCATTAGTTTACGTACTTACACATTATATAATGATTAAGATACCAAAATGGTATTGATCAATTCTATTCTGTCGATGAAGGGAAGACTACCTGTCTTCAAGAAGATAAGCCTATTGTGACTAAGTAGTCCAAAGAAGAATGATTTGGCGTTTAAAAACATGGGTATCCACCTCAAGACACAATGGAAAGACTTCGTTGGCTGTAGGTGAGCTAAAAATTGATTGATGATTTCCGCCTACACCTAATATCAAGTGTTGACCTATTCGGCCAATCTTCAGGGAGTATATAACGAGAATATACGCTACAAATAATCTCCACCTACATGGTTTCATCCCATCTGAAATATTTCATAGGCAGACGCCATATTTAAGTTCCTTACTATAAGGTATATTTATAAACATTTATTTTCCAACTGAAGATACCAGCAGAAAACAGGTAAAGCATTTTAAGATCAGTCATTAGTTAGAGTAATGATAATCAATGCAGTGTTGTTATTTCTTAGGTTAATTTTCATGATCGATAATCAGTTAACTGAACAGAAAATATTTCTCATATGTGAAAAAGTATTAGAAAAACAAACATTGTTTCTCATATCTCTGTTATCTATTAAGCATGTTGTCTGAAGGTAGGTATTGTATGCAAAATAGAAAATGTAGTGAATAAATTTAAGCAGAAAGAAGAGAACAACGCGCATAAAATTAATTATTAAGAATGACCTAATCAGTCAGGTCATTAATTATGATGAAAATATCAACATATATACGTATGTATATACCTACATTTGAATATATATATCCTCCTATTCAACAATGTACTTAAGTGAACAAACCGAAATAATCTCAGATTAAATTCCATTGCAACGGTAGAAAATTTCTTTACTCATAATACATATTGGATCGAAAGAGTGGAAAGCGATTAAACATAAAATGAGTCAATAATTAAACCAGGGAAGTGGCTAGTAAATGTTAAGCAGAATATCAGTTAAATGTACATTTAACTTGGATGTGTAGAAGTGTGTACCGTAGGAGTACGACTATCCAGAAAGAACTTCACATTCTCGTTTTGTTATTTCTTACCTATTCTTCTTTACTGTTCCCCCTTATTCTTTCCTGGATTGCTTAAAAAAGACTAATCCATACTTCGTAGAACTCTGAAGACTGTCAGTAGGGTGAGTGTTATCCCACTGGGCCATACCTTTGACATCGTCATTGATAGGTACTTGATTTTATACCACAAAGTTTGCTAAAGGGATTTTGTCAGACTGTGAGCCTCCACTCTACCCGCAGCTTTAATCTTGTGTCTCCTCAAAGAAGTCATTTCAAAAGACTTAATGCACGCACGTCTAAGTATAAAAATTCCACGATACTATATTTAGTACGTATTTGGTGTCAAGCACGAACTAACTAACCTTATTTCCACTAGTAAATAAACGATTTTCTCCATTCTTTACTGTAACCCAGGACTCCCCAGTTACAAGGCAAGCTGGCGTACCATTCAGCCACTGGGACCCAATTCATTGGCGAGTTCATGAATTCTAACTTCCACCAATTCGTGATTTAACGCGAACCCAACCACTGTCGTTGGTGGGACATCCATCCTCACACTTGACATGTGGATGGACCTCACTGGTCACGACTTCCCAGTACTCCCTGGTTTTCAATGGTTCTCTAACTGATATCAGTCCCTGACCAACTCGTAAAAACAAAACTAATCCTTACGAACCAACTATAGAAAATCAGTAGTATTGTAACAACAGAAGACAAGGGACAGGCAACAGATTGTTTATTAAGGAAATCAAAGCATATTTATATATTTTCATGTACATTATTATAGTTTAGTTACGCAAACAAACACAGTCTTTTGATTGGTTGTTTCTCACTTAAAATTAATCTTTCATCTCTTGTGACTGTTTCTTCAATGTCAGATCATCTATATGTTAACTGTATCCGCCTACGCAAAGTCTGCTGTGGTCGGTTTTTGAATCAGTCTTTGTTCATATTTTCTCACGACAAATCTTGAGAACGTAAAGATTGACGTAAATTTCTGTCTACCAATTTGGCTAGTAGACAGCTCTCATCACAGTATTATTATTTTTTGCAGACTACAGAAGGAGAAACGTTTAGTTTAAATTGTGTGTATTGTGTACGTCACTGTGTATCGTAACATCTATGAATTTACGAAAAATCTTAGTAAAACACATAGGTAGTATTCAAAATATGCCACACATTTATTTTTTTCATCTAGAAAACGTGAGATCGTGGTGAACTAATGTGCTTGTATTGAGATTAATGTCTGGGACAACAAGTACACGTTCAATTTTTCGCATTCGCTATTTTTCATGAAAGTTGTATGATCAATAGTAAGGACTGTTTGTCTCATGCTTATTTTGAAGCATTCGACTTAATGCAGCCAAAATGCTTAAAATTAGTGCGTTTTATGTGTACTTTATTCAACTTTTCAGATGTTAAGTGAAAGTGAAGTGGATAATTAATTCCGATTTCCTTTTTCTTTCAGTCTCTAAAAGTGAATGCTTCACCAAACCTCAGCCAATGGCTTGTTGTCAGCCATCATGGTATCAGATTAGTTTTACAAAATAAGGACAGTAACGAGATGAAAATTCATATGATTTCAACTCTTGGTGATATAAATAAAGTGGTCGCTTCGCGTACAGCAAATAGACCACGTTGGAGATGTGGAGATCCAACACCAATTAGTGAATCTCGAGGTAGCGATTATGGGAAACCATCAGATTATTTAAAACCTCCTTTAAGCCGATCAGTTAGTTCAGTCACATTGAATTTGCTTTCGCTAACTCATACAAAAGGGACGGATGAATTTTATACAGATATGGTAAGTTTGATGAGAAAACTCATTTGTTAACTTTTTTCTCTCTCTCACTTGAATGACTTCAGCAGTTTAATGTTTTACCAGGTATATTTAAAATAATTTTATAATGGTAAGCCCTAGTTTCTTTTTATTAGGATATTGCATCCTGTATTTTGTATGCAGCAACATTTCAAATTGCTTCATCTACAGCTGAACAATATGAACTAATTTCTTTTCTGATGTTCCAGTAAATTTTGCATGATTTAACACAATTTCTGTATTTGAAGATAAGATGTTGGGAAATAGGAATGAAATGCAACTTCATTCCTGATACACCCTCAACAGATGTACATGTATGCATGTGTTGAATTCATTTGTCTTCTCAGAAGTGTTTATATAAAAAACTGCATAGATTACTGGCAAGGCTTTGTTTTTATGGGATTCCACTCGAGCAATGGCCTGGCGTCCGATGCCACTCGATAGTCTCCCGAATTTGTGTCCCATTCTTCTGAACACCTTGAGCAGCAATCTTCGTATGTTTGGCATGCGATTCGCCCCTATAAAATGTAGGATGCTGCTACAGGACTAGACAACGTCAACGCCTAGCTTGGTGATAGGGAGTGAAGTGATAGAACATGTTGACCACTTCACCTATTTGGGAAGTTGTATCAGCACCAACGGACTGATTGGTGACGAAATCTCAACAAGGATCCAAAAAGCTCGGGCTGCTTTCGCTAACTTACACCGTCTCTGGCATAGGCGTGACATCCGGCTATCAACCAAGGGACATCTGAACTGCTCAGCAGTTCGCTCCGTCCTTCTCTATGGCTCTGAAACATGGCCAATACGAGTTGAAGACATGAAACGGTTGACTGATTTTGATCATAGATGTCTACGATCTCTTTCTCACGTTAGTTGGCATAATAAGGTAAGTAATGTTGACGTTAGGCGTAGAGTGTTGGGCAAAGAGGGAAAACCAATCGACGAAGCTATAAAGTTACGTAGATTGAGATGGCTAGGTGACGTGCTGCGCATGCCTAACCATCGCCTCCCCCGACGGGCGGGCATTACTATCTGATATAGGTGCAGGTTGGAAAAGAGTAAGTGGTGGCAAACAAAAACATGGCATCAATCCATGAAACCCTTGACAGTTAAGCTGAGTCAGGTAGGGAGATGCAGTCTTCCGGGTTGGGGCCCTCGGGACTCTAAGAACCAATGGCTGGAGACAATAGACGACATGGCTCAAAATCGTTGTCAATGGCGCAGATGTATTCAGTCTCTGTAATCTTTCATATTCCTTTCTACCATTACTCATTCTGTTTCACTCTTATACTTGTCAAAACTCTATTGATTCTCTTCACTCATTTTCTTGTCTACCTTTGTGTGCTATTTGGAACGTGGCAACTCGAACTGCTGCACTTCGGTGCCAAGTTCTATGTTGAATCCAGCAGCAGCAGCCCATTCATTTCAATTTTCACCCACATATTTGTTGAGTGGTCGGTTCTTGATTGGTTTTTTGCCAGTTTCTTGTCACTGATTCTTTCTGGCTTGACATTTCATCTTCAATATAGAGCAAAGGTGGCAGCTGTTGAAAAAAGTCTGTAACTTGTTGGAAATCCTCTTCGTGGTGCGCAGTGCAAGTTTCTTACCCATATAGAAGCAGTGACTTACTCACTTGACATTTATGTTGAAAATTCGAATCTTGTTTTTTATGCTGAGACGGAGCGTAGAAGATTTTCAAACTGGTTTCAAGTTGATGAAGGCGTATCTTACATTTCCGATTCTTGCTTACTGGCTTTGACATCTTCATCCGTTTTTCTGGCTGTGGTTGAAACAATACTGGCTGCTTAGATAAGTGAAGGAAGTAACCCTTTTCAAATTTCTCCCATTGACGGTGATTGGTGCTGATTGTTGTTGTTGGTGGTGGTGTTCGTTGGTTACCATCATCACTTCCGTCTTGTGATTGTTCACCTGGAGTGCTGTCTTCGCTGTCGGCCAGCTTCGTCAGCCAGTTTGTTGGTTTTCGCCTGCAAGTCTACTAATTTGTGTGAAATTAAACATAAATCATCTGTGAAATCGAGATCTTCTGGAGTTTTCTTATTGGTCTAACGTATTTCTTTTTTCCTGCTGTCTACAGACTGACATATAATCCATTCGACCACAAATAGAAATACCATTGGTAATAACAGGCCGCCCCAGTTTTACTTCTGTATTCACTTTTAATGGCTTGCTGAGTTTCCTGTTGTGGATCACCTGACACGTGACACTGTTATATAGCCAGCCGCTGTTTTAGGTTGATAAAGACTCAGGCACTGCAAGTCGCAGTGTTGGAGTAGTTTCCAAACTACTTTTCGGTCAGCCTACGTAATCTGTCGAAGGTCCTTTCAAAGTCGATGAAGTTGAAGTGGAGAGAGATTTGACTTCCATTTTATGCTTCATTCGTTGATGACGATGATGCGTATAGTTGCAACTCGATAAGCATATTATTTCGCTTTCCTAAGTCCAGCTTGTTCCTGTGGTTGGAGTTCTGCATTGAGTGCATCTTCTATTCTCTGCATGATGATGGTACTTATTATTTTACTTGGCGTGGACAAAAGCATTATTCCACGCTAGAGTTACCAATGTACAGTTGATTAATTTTTAGTTGTTGCTAGTGAAGATTTAAGTGATTTCAATGCATATTTTGCCATGAAGAGATATCAGTTCGTATAGAAGTGTTATTATTTATTTATTTAAACGCAGAAGAAAAAACTTGGTACAATATGGTACCAAGAAAGATGCGCCACAAAATAATAATAAAACAACATAGATTAAAAGTAAAAATATAGGTAGAAAACGGATAAAGAACTTCATCAGGAAGGAAAACAGTCATGTTTAACAAGTTCAAACAGTATTCGTTAACTATCATCAGGAAGGGAAGAAAGAAGGAAATCGCAACACGTTCGCCATTGATTACGATTCTTGGCCATATCCGATAACTTTTCGAGCCATCGATTCGAGCTCTCTCGTGGACCCCAACCAGGGAGTCGTGACACACCAACCGATGCTAATCTAGCACAAATATCCTTCATCCCACGACGCCACGTCATGGACTGACCACCCCTCCACCTTTTCCATCCCATCTCAGGGCTAGCGAACAGAGACCTGTACGGAAGCCTCTGGGATGACATTCGCAGCACATGTCCAAGCCACCGGAGCTGGTCTTTCCAGATGACGACACTCAATGAATGGTGATCTCCACTGTGTTCAAACACACGCCGCCGAACCTCAGAATTACTCAGGCGATGATGCCATCGAACGCAAGCAATCCTGCGGAGACAGCGATGATCGAACACGCAGAGTCGCCGCACATCCCCAGATCGGAGAGGCCAGGTTTCACAGGCATAGAGCAAGACAGCCCGCACCGAAGCATTGTATACCCGACCTTTGACAACCAGGCTAACATCGCGACGGTGCCAGAGGTGGCTCAAGTTGATGTATGCCACTCTAGCCTTCATTATACGGTTGAAAATCTCATCCGTCACCGTATAGAAGTGTACATTGAAATTAATAAAAATCCTTACAACTCACCATTTTTGCCACTTTGTTTTAAATAATGTAGGCTTGGTTAACGATATATGAATGAAAAAGTGGATAACTAGTTGGGTGGGATGAAATAAACTAGTCATTTGTTTAGCCGATGATTACTCTTTGAGCATGAAAAACACCCCACATGTAATAATATTTCTTATACATAATTTCTGCAAACAACTCCATGGAACCAATCATTTGTACACCTGATAAAAAGTGGTAGTCATTAGTATTACTTTCTTTAATTTAATGGATACCTACATATTCAATACATAACTACAGGGAATACTTTTATGCTTCTTTCTCTCCAGTTTGATTACATACAACTAACATTTTTTCAGGGTTTCATTCATCACATGAAATAGCTGAATGCTTATCTCTGAAATCTGTCAAATTTTTCTTAGAGCACACAGACTTTCAGTTGATATGTTCAAGCAAATAGCCTTTAAGAGAGATTTCTTGACATATTATCCCTTGTTAAAATATTAGCGTTATGCTTATTGAAATCATGTGACAAACCTTCAACATATATGCAATATACAGTTTAGCACTGAAATGCATTTTATCATTATACGTTTATATCAGCTGATGCATGTAAGCAGATTGCAGATTGGAACATCTATCTAAAATAGTTTAGTGTATTTGCAAGAAACTATGGTCTTGAGTTTTGCATTGAGTTATAAAGAATTCTTTAAAATTTATTGATCTTCAACTACCCTTATCTAGAGTAACTAGCGACTGGTATGTAATATACAGCATACTTCAGTCAGAAAAGCCTGTATTTGTTTGTACAGAGCAAAACACTGGTGCATAAATTCACTGCCCTTATAGTGGTTTTTCTATATCCTCTGAGCCGAACAACTTTAATTAGACGACAGAAAATAATTTAATTAGTACAGATACTCTTAGTATAAATATGAAACTGTCATTTCTTGTTCAGAAATATATAAAAACCGTTAAAATACTTTTCATTGCATACTGTATAGGTTTATGTTAATAAGTAAATTGTCAAACTTCTGTCTGTAGAGCGTAGAAAGTTTTTCTGCAGTAAACTGTTTTGCTCAGTATGCTATACCTGCACAGAGTGGACGAACATTCAAATCTGTAGTTATGAAAATATCATTAGTTAGTATGTGACCGGCATTTGCATCAATTACTTGTAGTTATTTACGAAATAATCATCATTGTCAGCAATATAACTGGATCTTTCAACCTAGAAACTGAGTTATTTGAGAAATGGCAACATCTCGGCATTTTGTAACGTACACTTTAAATAACCTCATTCATGGCTATTTTATCTACCCCAAACAATTTCGGCAACATAAATATGAAGGTCATTGTCCACTCATGAAAAGATTTTGTGTTGATAATTATGGCTGTAAAATTGGATGGGTTATCCTGAAAACCATCTCAAATTTGTTAATATGCAAACTGTTTTTTATATTTCAGCATAT